CAGAAGGCCCCAGCCCCATAACATCATCACAATGACAACCAACGGACAGGAACAAGAGTTTGCTTTCACTTCTCCAAACTTCACTAAGACCCTGAAAGACCTCTGACATTGGGAGATTCAAGAACGAGAAGCCTGGGACGAAACACACTCGAGTGGCTGTGATTTTGGAACAAGACTAAGCTTGTTCCACTTGCCTCTTGGCTGTGGCTCCTGAGCCAACCTCAGAACTTCCCAGTCTCTTGGTGCTACCATGTGACCAGCCAGTCCAGCAACCACAACTTCCTCCAGGCTGAAGGCACCTGCCTGGCGCCCATCCTTATCTGCCAGAAGCTAATTTCCACTTCTGAAATACCAGGATTGTTTCAGACCTGAGTGACCAGCTGGTTACAGAGCCAGTCCACTCATCCCTTACCAGGAAAGGTGGCCAGTCTGTAAATTTCCAAAGATTTAGTAATGCAAAAAATGTAAAATAGCACATTAGTCATTTTATTACATTGATGACATGTGAAATGACATTTTGGATATATTGGGTTAAATAGATCATTCAAACTAATTTCCTTTGTTCTTTTTTTTTTTTTTTTACATTGACATTTTTAATGTAGCTTCCATGTATGGCTGGCACTCTATTTCTAATGACCAGTGCTATTTTAGATAATCAGCTGTGGCTTCTATAAGATTGGTTCTGTAAATGTCACTATATTTTCTTTACCTCCAAAAGCAAACTGATTATCTCTGGGTGGCACTGTGCTGTGCTGCCCAAGGGTCTTTGGGGAGGTCTCTTCCCCTCTGTGCTACAGGCGTCTCCTCTGGGCAGAAGCTGACCTTGAAGATCTCCTGGAACTCCTACATGTCCTGCGCCACCAGGCTCTCAAGACTCTAGCACAGGGCTTCCTTTCAACCCTGTTACCAACAATGTGTGCCTGTCACTCAAAACCCCACACAGATCATTTCCCCTTGAAACAATGCTACAAGTGTTGCTAAAATATGTCAAGCTGTTACCACCTGGGAACAACTGGTCAGAGCCTACCAAGAAAAAGGAGGCGCCTCAGTTGAGGTCTGGAGACTCCCCTGCCCTCTCTGCCCCAGAGCATCAAGGGTCCACTAGCTGCTTCTTCCCAGAGACTGCAACCCCGCCCTCTTGACTATGAAGTGCCACTGTGCTAAGTCAAAAGAGGCAAGATCAGCCCCTTAGCACTGACTGTAAAAGAAACGGCAAAGGGTTAGGCCCTCAGATTTGGGAGAAAACTGCTAGAAAGTGTCACCCTGACAATCCTTGAGACTCAAGGGGCAAAATTAGAAATTCAGAATCTTACATTTAAATTTTTTTAATTAAAATTTTTTTTTTTTTTTTTTTTTTTTTTTTTAGGTCTGGGGATGTAACTCAGGACCCTGGGCATGCTAGGCAAGTGTTCCACCACTGAGCTAGACCCCCAACATACCACCACTTAATGTCAATATTTTATCCACATGAAGATTCAATATTGGCTTCCTGAGGCCTGGGGATACAACTCAGTGGTATAGCCTTTTCCTGGCATGTGTGAGGCCCTGGGTTAGATACTCAGCACTGCAAAAACAAACAAAACACTGGCTTCCTCACATGAATTTTGGAGGTAGAGGTAAGTTCAAATCTCTCCTTTATTGCTTGATAGCTACAGGCCCTGGGATAATGTTACTCCACTCATTTGGATCCCCATTCCTACTATATATAGCAATCAAAGAATTGTTGAAAAGATTAAATAAGGGATTTTTTAAAAACCTTGCATATTGTAAAAGTTTAATAGCTATTAGCTTTCTTTTCTCTTCTTCATCCTTTCCCATAGCAAATGGGCAAAGAAAATACTAAAAATCTCAGGAAAAAAAAAAACAGAAAAGAAATCTTCAATTATGACTTTGTTTTCACTTTTTTAAAAATTATTTTATATTTTGGTATTGGGGATTGAATCCAGGGGGGTTCAGCTTTAGCACAACCCCCCAGTTCTTTTTATTTTTAATTTTGAGACAGTGTCTCATTAAGTTGCTAAGGTCGGCCATGAACTTGTGATCCTCCTGCCTCAGCCTCCCCAGGCTCTGAGACTATAGACATGTGCCAGAGTACCCAGCCTGTTGTCATTTTAATCTGATTCTGGATGCCTGGTATAAATTTTGAATCTGGTAGAGAAATTCTGTGGAGACAGAGATTATCTTTACAGCCCTTGCCCAGCATCTGGAAAAAGATAGATGTTAGGTAAATGCTACTTAAATAAATGAAAGTTGGATTTAATAGAATCCACATGTGGAATACATAAGAAACATTAGGTCAGAATTACCAGGATGTGAAAGTTGTCGGAATCAAAATGGAGTCACTTGTGTCAGCCCTAACACAATAAAGTAAATAAAGCCAGGAGGATAGGAAGGAAGGGTTATTGTGCAAGATTACCAGACGGTAACTATGCCAAAGACTCTGCAGAACTACAACCTTACACAGAAGCCACCACAACCTTATACAAAAAGTATTTCTACAAGGACATCTGCCCAGCAACCGTCTTCAGCCTCAGACTGATACCACTCCTTATTATTAATGACTGTGGCCAAGGACTATTGTTATCTGATGTAATCTTCATTTTTATCTTTAAAAACTCCTCCTTGTCACTCGATCTTATTGAATATGCCCATGGTTTATCATATGCCCAAACTACATTTCCATAGTTTGGTATGGACATGGCAGTGCTCTACTGTTCCCCACAAAATACTTTCCCCAAATAAATCTCTTTGGACAATCTCTCTCCCTGACTTTTTATAAATTTAGGTTGAACACGGTACAGGAGTTAGGGTGATCTGCATGAACAGGGTCAAAACAAAGTTTGCAGGCCACAAAGAACTATTCTGCGGAATGACTTGTGAATCTGTTTACACAACTCTTTTTTTCTAAGTTGCAAAGCCCAAGGTACTCTGTCCAAATACTTCTCCCCCATTCGAAGGTGGTTTACTTAGAAAAAGGCTGAAACCGCCCACAGAGAGACAAACACACTCATCTGTCTGTGAGAAGGCATAAACAATTTGGGTTTTCACAATGCTCAACTGAGCACAGAGGATTCAGCCTAAAAGGACAAACTAAATAGATGTTTGCATGATGTAAACAAGACGTCCTGTCGGAGTGTTTTAAAATGTGAAATTCTTAACATTTCCTGACCCTGTTGTGGGTGGGGAGTGGACTAGGGAATGAGTAACTATTTCTATTAAATTTTAAAGGCACACCTCGTATTGAGTTCCTTCACAGGTGTGCAAGAAGGAATGTGAAAACCCAGGACTTTGTATTTTTGGTTGACAGAAGAAGTATTAGAATCTCTGCTACAGAAGGTGCCAGGTCAAATGAGAGAGCTTCTCCCAGCTAGCAACGCTGCCATTCCCAAACAGTAGGCTTGGGACTGTGGTCACCTTGTGCTATTCCCATTCTGCTGCTGATAGGGTGACTTAACTCTCTGGAAGGTTGAAAGCTCCTATCTCTCTTCCCCTAACTTTATCCCCCAATGAAAGAAAATCCAGGACTGCTGAACCCACCATCAAGACTGCAAGTGGGATGTTAAAATCCACAGTCACATGGCCGTTAAGGATAGGAGATCAGTAAATGTCATTCTCAATACCTACTTTTAAATTTCCCCAAATAAAAGAGCTATCTGTTTCCCTTCAGGGCTTAAATCAATTAAATCTTCAAAACATTCAACCCCATAGGGGAAAAGTGGGGAAAGGATTTTTTTTTTTTTGCTTGTTTTTGGGCTAAAGGTGGCCTCTCTGTTTGCTTTCATTGATGGTTTATGCTATTACTGAGTGGCAGAACTCACACTGGTTTTGTAAATTGCATTCAACTCACCTTCCTGCTAAAGAGAAACAGAATGGAGATTTGTCTTTAGAGAAATTTTTAGAAAACTTCTGTCCCAAAGAAAAATTTTCTAAGTGAAAGGTTGCATTGTTCTAAATGAGACAACAGGTAGTTGCAAACAGGCCTATGAGAACTGAGGGTTACAAGTCACTTGCTAAACAACCAGCCAGGTCTGCCTGTGCTTAGGAAGAAGCAAGAGTTAGAGGCAGTGGTCCTGCTATAGAAGGACCCCAGAAATATTTGCTTCAAATATTTGGAGAAGACAGATTCATAGCATGCCCTGGATCAGAACTGCCCTGAGATGGAAAGATTGGGAATAATTCCCCTTCCCCCCAAAAGAAAGAAAGAAAGGAAGAAAGGAAGAAAGGAAGAAAGGAAGGAAGAAAGAAAGAAAGAAAGAAAGGAAGAAAGGAAGGAAGGAAGGAAGAAAGGATTAAGGGGCTGGGGTTGTGGCTCAGAGGTAGAACATTTGCCTAGCACAGGTGAGGCCCTGGGTTCGATCCCCAATACCATATAAAAATAAATAAAGACATTTTTCAAAAGTGGAATTCATCTTAATAAAGAAAAATGATTAAGATATGAGTTATTTATACCAAGAGACTTCTTGGAAATACAGAGCAAGATTTCTAATTCATCGTACTGGACTTGGCCCTAAACACCAGGGAAGGAGTTTGGCATGAAGCATTGTCCCTGTTGTCCTGGCTTCAGCTGTGTATAAAAGAAGGTAAGAAAAGCGCCAAGAACCCCCGCCCCATGGTCCTGCAGTTATGCAGCATAGAGGATGCCGCACTCTAGGAACGCTTGTTGGTCCAGCTAAAAACTCCTGCCAAATTCTATGACACCCAAATAGTCTGATGCCCAGGGCCTGTGCCAGAGAGAAAGAGCAGCATTCCTGAAATCACAGGTGGAAACTGGTGAACTGACACAGGTTCAGGAGTGACACCATCAAAGCAGAGTGTCACCCACAGTCACAATCACCCCATCACACTGCCAGGCATATCCAACAACCAAACCACCCAGAGTCATAAAGGCCCCTTGGTCAGAAAATCACAGCCTCCTGCACGGTTGGGTCCAGTTAGATACAAACTAACACACTCAATCCCCTTGGAAAGATGCCCTCTCCTTTGAAGATCCATCCACTCACCTGATTGCCAAACACAGCCACGGAGCAGGCTGTTGAAACCTCATTAGCCCCGAACCAGACTGAAGCGATGCGGGAGGGCATGCCCAGGATGAAGACTTGGGCCACGGAGCAGATGACCTGGCCTAGCACAGTGACCGGGAAGAGGTGCGGCTTCAGGCTGCCCAGCTTCACCCAGGCTCCCAGGCAGTTGAGAGCTGAGCCAGTGAGGGCGATGGTGCGCAGACCAAATTTCTCCAGCAGCCAGGCCACGGGCAGGAGCAGAGGGATGTAGGTCAGCATGTAGCACATGGACAGCCAGTCGATGGCAAAGGCACTAACCCCGTAGAAGTGCATGAATATGTTATTGATGGAGCTGTATTGGATCCACTGGAAGGCGTTGCACATGGAGTAGCAGCTGAACACGAGCACCACAGCCCAACGGCGCTTGCTCAACTTGATCACACTGAGTTCCTGACATGAGCTACTGGGGTGGTTCAAGCCACCCGGTTGCGCCGAGGTACTGGGGTGCACCGAACTGCTGGGGTGGGCCGAGGTACTGGGGTGGATGGAGACGCTGGGATGGATGGAGACGATGGGATGGACCGAGACGCTGGGTTCTGCCTGGAGAGCTTTCTCCAGCACAGGGGGGTCATTGAGCTCCTCCAGGTTGGGATTTTCATTCACCATGGCCACAGCCTCCCYGGGAGCCCTGGACAGGTGCTGACTCCGGCACTCGTGTGGGATAATGGCTGATGGGAAACTTGCTCAGGAGTGCAACCGTGAACCACAAGAAACGGAGAGCCGAGGTGTGTAAAAGCAGTGGATAGTGCTCCTTGCACTCACCCCCAAACTCCTGCTCTCACTTTTTCTTGGATCTTGGTCCCCACCCGCGGCAGCTGCTGTCCCCAGGCCGGCCTCAGACGCGTCAGCCCGCTCCTGGCTGTTCCTGACTTGGGCTCCTCCAGTTGTTCTTGGTCCTAGTAAAAGTTTGCTCCTTGGACAGCCACTTCGCCGGCTCTGTTCACTCCGGGGCCCGGGGCCTCGCCCCCTTGGGCGCACGTGACCGCCCCGCCCCCGTTCCGCCCGGCTTCCCCCACCCCGCTAACTCCCTCCCACCCGGTGTCCCCTGTCTTCTCGAGCCGGCCCGCAGGGCAGCTCGGTTGTTTCGCCACAACTTGCGGGGTGCATTCCTCCCCCACGCCCCGGGCGCCATGGAAACCGCCCGGTTAACTCCCACCCCTCGGCACAGCCTCTGAAATTCATTCGTCCCCCTCCCAGTGAATCCCCGCAAGAAGATCCCCTGTGCTCTTCCGAGGTAAGAGTCTGGGGACGAGTCCGCACGCCCAGCCCGCGCGCACGGAGACGTGCGTCCCCACCGTCCCCACGGTGCACTGGGGAATCCAAGACGGATACCCAGCTTTCTCCCTCCCGACCCCTGGCTGAGCCTTCAGTGTAAAGGGACATTTGAGGCTGCGCTCCTGGATTAAAGGAGAGATGCAGAAAACTCGCTTTTCTTGTTGCTTTCCCGAGAACACGGTCTTATCTGGGGCAACTCATATTTGAACTTAAGTAGGGCTATTGTGTCCTRATGGGTCTCTGCGACCTCCAACGCGGGGACCTGGAGTGGTAGGGAGACACGACGTCGGCGAAGTCGATCGACGAAGCTGCGGACGGTGGCGGTGGGGAACTGTGTCGCTCGGCGCTGGCTCTGGGCGTGGTGTTGGAAACGGTCTTTGCCCCCAAGTAGCCCTAGGCTGCCACCTGCCGGTCCCATGCCATTCCAGAGAGTAAACCCTCACTTAGTCGTGGCCGGACGTGCAGGCCTGCAGGCTTCCTCCATTTCAGCCAAGGCAAGTGACAGTGATAGAGGCCCAATTGTCCCTGGGCTCAGACTCTTGACTCAGCGACTCCTAGGTGTGCAACTGCAGATAAAGTACGTCCCCTCTGCACCTCAGTTTCTTCATCTGTACAATAGTGATGATGAAATAGTGCCTACCTGAAAGTGTTGCTTGAGGCTTGAATGAGTTCATACAGGAATGTGTTGAGAAAATTCCTGGCAGATGAGTATTCTGTGAGTCTTGGCTATCCTAGCAAAAAGCTAGTATTTGTTACACTGTGCTAAACAGTAACGCATTATCTCATTTAAGCATCACAATGACAGGTCATTATTATTGCTTGACTTTTTTTTTTCCTCCTTTGGGTGCTGGGAATTGAACCCGGTATGTGCTGAACACAGACTGTACCACAAACCAAACCCCCAGCCCCCATTTTACAGATAAGAAAACTGAAGCTCTTAGAAGTGAGATAACTTCTTATGTAAGGTCCCATCTGCCCTGGAGAGCCATAATGCTCATTCAAGTCCATAATCATTCAATCTATAACCCAGGTATTCAGGTTGGGTGTGTAGGCAGTGGCGAGCATCCCCAGGAACTTGTTAGAAGGGGAGACTTCCTGGGGACCCCAGACCTCCTGAATCAGAATCTGAAATTTAGCAGATCCCCAGGTTATTTGTTTGTTCAAACATTAAAGTTTGAGAGCCCTTGGGTGCTGTGGCTTCATTCTTGTTTTCTTTTTTAAAACTTCAGGCCAAACATGAATAATTTAAAGCTCTGGGGCAGTGGTTTCAACTTGGTTTGCACATTAAAATCACCTGGGAGAGGGCTCTGGACATAAGGGGTGCCCAGGCCACAGTCCAAAGCAGAATCCCCGAGGGTGGACAGGCCATCCAGATCTGCAGCCCAGTTGGAGCCAGGCTTGGTGCGTTAGAACCACTGGTTCCCAKGAGAATGAGATTCACTCTTTTTAGTGAAGCCCTCAGACTCCCTACTGAGAGGCTCCCCTTCACTTTTTGGTAGAAATTATAGAGCCTTTAGCTCTAATGGGATATTTGAAGAGGAAATATATACCCATCTAAGAATTTCTATGCTAATTTTACAGTCTGTTTTCTCAGAATTCCTCTAGTATTCCCATCTTTTTGCAGGGAGCACAGAACCTGTGTTCTCTTGAGACCACTCTCTGCTCTTTTTTTTTTTTTTGGTACCTGTGATTTGAACCCAAGGGCATTTAACTTCTGAGCCACCTCCCCAGCCCTTTTTAATATTTTATTTAGAGACAGGGTCTCACTGAGTTGCTTAGGGCCTCGCTAAGTTGCTGAGGCTGGCTTTGAACTCACTATTCTCCTGCCTCAGCCTCCCAAGCCACTGGGCAGTATAGATTCTTAACTCTACTTTTACAGATAGAGAAACTGAGGCTCAGAGAGGGGGGCTGTGTTCCTCAGAAATCTACAGCTAATGAGTGTCAGAACAAACTAGAACAGTAAGGCAGGTTGTCCTTCCATGTAGTCTCTTCTGTGCACTCTTCCAGAGCAGTGCTTTAGTCTGGTGGCAAATCCCAAGGGTCTAACCTGGGCTTCAAGAAATATTTGGGGTTGCTTTTGTGGAGGAGTGGATCGGATTTGCTATGAGCACTGGGTTAGGTCTACTCAGATTTGGAGCTCCGTTCTACCATTATTAGCTTTGGGATCTTGGGCAAGTTACTTAATCTCTTTATCCTTCAGTTCTGAGTCTATCAAATGAGGATTTAAAATACCTGTCTCATAGAGTTGCTGTGAGCATTAAACAAGGTAATGTGTATAAATTGTTTTCAATAATAATGATGATGATATTCCAGCAGCCACCAGAATTGTGCAGATGCCTGGCTGGTTCCCACCACAAGGTAGACAGCTACATAGATATTAGGAAGAACTGGGCACGATGGCATACACTTGTAATCTCAGCTACTCAGGAGGCTGAGGTGGGAGGATCACAGGTTTGAGGCCAGCCTCAGCAACTGAGTGAGATCCTGTCTCAAAAAACATAAATAAATAAAGAGGGCTTGGGATGTAACTTAGTGGTAGAGTGCCCCTGGGTTCAGTCCCCAAAACCAAAAGAGAAAAAAAAATATATTAGAAATATATTACTAATGTTCTGATAAAGAAATATTCCATATTAATCCAATGAGGAAACATTTTTTGAGTGCTTACTGTGTGTTCTATTTATATGTTTGGTCTATGGGAATCTACAGAGAGAACCCCTGGCAATGAATTCCAACTTTCCGGTCCTCTGCAGGATGGTTGCAAAGTCTGCCCCCTGCTGGCTAACATCTTGGCTCTAAAAGCAGGACTTGAAGTCAAAAATGTCACACTCTTCTTGTTACCACAAGCTAACCAGGGGCTGCAGATGGGGGGGGAGGCATGGAGCTTATCAAGTGCGGAGGAAGGCTAAATTTTCAAATGAGTCAAGTTGAGACATGGCACTTGCAATCTGTAATGTTGACTGTACTAGTTTTGCATGTGTGATTTACATTTGGAATACTACATGGTCAACAATATTCTGTTTGCCTTATCTCCCACTCTTTCYACAGATGTATAGTTCTCTAAGGACTCAGGTATATCTTTGTATACTCTAGAGCATTTAGTGAGACAAATTAGATAGCACATGTCCTCTGCATGTGTCTGTCTGTAGTACTGAGTTACACATCATCATGGAATTTCAAAAAATTGGAGACAAACAGGAGATCCAACAAACTGTCAGAGGGATAAGAAAAACTGGTTTCATAAACTATTTTACAAAAAAAAAAGAAAGAACGAAATAAAGGAAAAAAGGGACAAAATGTCATTATAGGGCTGGGGTTGTGGCTCAGAGGTAGAGTGATTGCCTAGCACATGCTAGCCCTGGGTTCARTCCCCAACACCCCATAAAAATAAGCAAAATAAAATGAAAGTATTGTGTCCAACTACAACTAAAAAAAAAATGTCATTCGAGTTATCAAGCCTAGGAATGGTCCATTAGTGGAACAGTGCCTTCTGAGAGAAGAGTATTTCCTGCCCATAATTCTGAACCCAAGTTACCAAAAACTAAGTATGAAAAAGAATGAAACATGTCCCGAYGTGCAGAGTTTCAAAAATGGGGACTGTCTTAGCTGCCATCTCAGAAAGCTGCTAAAGGATATGCTCCACCAAAACAAGGGAGGAAACCTAGGAAGAATAAGATTGAAACAGGGATTCCAACACAAGGGACAGGTGACAGGAAGTACCACGTTAAAGGAAAAACCACAGGTGGACGGCAAGCAGAAGGAAGCAGAAGAGGAGGCAGCCTGTTCAGACTGAAGCTGGCCTGAAGACTTTAGGGAAGATTTATTCAAGGTGATATTGGTGGTATTATTATGTTTTTAAATATTAAGAGGAAGTTTCCACAATTGGGGGAGAATGAGGGATTGAACTAGTGATAAGAGCCATAACTTTAGCTGAATACATGGCAGAAAGGCATGATTAATTTTGGTGGAGCTGTGGAGGAAAGGAGAAATAAAATCATGGTATACCTTAAACGACTCAGCTGTTCATAGCGTGGACACAATCAGATCATGTGAACATGGAAGGTCACATTGTATAGACATCATCTTCGGTGATCTGACTTTTCTGGGAGGGTGGGGGAACGGGAATGGGCACACATGTGCGGTGGTTGTCTGCCATATTGGAAAGGCTGTGTCTTGTGAACACTTAACATGGCAAAAATCAGGAAGCATCAGTGTACTCGTGCTATTTAGAACTTGGAGGTAAATCCCAAAAGAATCATCAAGCTGTTAGCAGCTGTCAGAGAACAGGAAAGGGGGATAGGCAACTGGTATTTTTGATAGGTGACTGTTTTTCT